ACACAGTTGTGGTTCATAACATTACCAAATGGGCATTGGTTGCATTTTTGACTTTCAGCCAGAATTTCAACCAGAAAGTGTCCAGAAGATATCCAGAAATTCTTTTTTTTAATCTTCATTTAGAACAGTATTATATTTGTTTTTATTTAAATTTAAAACCTAACAACCAATGTATTTCACCTAAAGTCTGTTAATGGACACAAATATCAGTTGCTTTCATATTTTGTTGTCTAATGCAATGACATTAATACATTTTTAAACTTGGCTCAAATGTTCAAATACTTTCTGGGCCACTGCATATTTATATCTGTAATATATATTTAATTCTCATTTAGTTGCAGTTCCTGTTTCCTCATCTCAAGCTTAGATGTGTTAGAAGGGCAACAAGCTGTTTTTCTCACATGGGCATCTGCAGTGCTGGGTTGGCAAAACACTCAGTGACATGTAGGTGCCCAGTCAGAAGGCAATTACCACAACAAAACATTTTTTTGCTTTCAGTTTTTGTAAGCTATAAAATGTCTCTCAGTGAGGCTTGCCATGTTGCAACGGCAAGGACATTTTGATTAAAACTAAGTATTTTGTTCTGACAGGATTATTTCATTATTATTATTTTAAATTCTGTTCCTTGCTGTGGCAAACTGTGAAATTGAGGCACAGAGAGCTTTATTGGTTAAGCTGAAAAAAAGCTATTTTTTGGCAATCTGCTAATTAAGACTGACTATATACAGGTGCATCTCAATAAATTAGAATGTCATGGAAAAGTTCATTTATTTCAGTAATTTGGATGTTTAATTTCAAAATAAAATTTCTTATTAACAACTAAACATTAATTATGAATTTAATATTTATCTTACTAATTATAGCATGTGTCCTCTTTTATAGCTTACTCTTTTTTTTATTACTATGCCATTGCAAATAAATAAGCTTATAAGCTCAATATATGATGCAACAACTCTAAAAGCCATAGCTTAAGGCAAAAGTTCTCATTGCCAAGATCATCATCATCATATTGCAGAATAGATGTATTCAGCAATA